TTGTGTGGATGGATATGTGCCGTACATTTTGTTTTTATCAGTTTGTGAAATAGCAAGTATGGTTGGGGGAATATTTTCTTAAAGGACAATTATCTCGTAAAAAAAGAAGCAGACACTGAGATTAGGCTAAACCTCTCTCCCTTGGTATTCGGTGTGTCTGAGTTGTGTTAAACCCGTTACTCCCATTGCAGCAGTGACAGTTTAAAGTCTGCGTAGTTTCACTTTTACTTTCTAATGGCATTGGCCCTTTGTGTGTTTAATTCAGCTTCAGCCAAAAGTCAAACACGCCATTAAATGCAGTTTAATCTTTCAGGCTGGTACAGATAGTAAATGTTTATTGTGGTTCAATATCGTTACATTTAATGGGATTGCTTAATCAATTTTAACGTGGTCTCATTTTCAGCCAAAAAGATGTTACAATCATAAGATAATATTGACACATCTCACTAAATGCAGTCACAATCTACGGCCCTTTGTCAATGCACTTCTGGATGACAGTCTTAATCTAAGTTGTCTTGTGGTTGTTGTTGTTGTTGGTTGTTTGACTTGCATCCCACTGGGATTTTTGCACACAGCGTTGGTGTACGGTGATTTTTTTCTGCAAGGTTTTGCTGTCTTTTCTTGGATTTTCTGTTTGCACTTAGTCACATATTCACTTTGAAATGTTTTTGTTCATGTTTTTGTTTGTTGCGGTTGCACCCGATTCAAGAGCCGAATGGCTCACAGGTCTATACCTAATAAATGAACTTGAACTTTCAGCGGTCTGCATTGAAATAACGATACCGTGCTGGTCAAGTGTCACTTGGCGAAGGGGGCACTCAGCACTGGTGCAGATATTACCACTGATGTCAGCTGTGCCTGGGAATTGAACTCAAGTTACCGGGCTCATAGCGGAGTGTGCTAACCACTGTGCCGCTGCTCTCCGCAACTAACAATAGATGTGTACGTATATATATATATATACAATTGCCCGTTATTTCTCTACTTCAATTCATACAATTTTACTGAAACCGAATAAATATTTTTTTTAGTGCGGATCACTGCCTATATTTGAATGATGTATCGGATTTCCAATGGCGAGTCTTTCATTTTTAAAAGTAGTGTTGGTAACGCGTTGATCACAAACGTGTTAGTTGGAAACATGCATGCCTTGGAAACCATTCCCATGAATTGATATATCTCTGTGGCATTTTGTAAACTTCAAGGGACTTCTATTCGCATGTCTTTGGATTAGTGGTTGGCAATGCAAACCAAACTGGCCTGTCAGCCTTACTTGGCCCTTCCCCTCTCCAACCATTATATATACGGAGTGGTAGCTCTTGTGATCTCTCATTTACTTGATACAGCTGTCGTGGCTGTGACGGTTCCACCTGAAGACGGAAGCTTGTGTTGCCTCCGAAACGTCGTGATTTTTATTTTTGTTTTATTTTACTTTTATTAATTTTAATGTTTTACCTACGTGACTTTACCGAAAAAAACCTAAGAATATGGCCTGTGCCAGTCCTGCTGCTCAGATAGCAATGTTATTTATGCAAAAGTAGGGTCCTAATATTAAAACGAGCATTGGAGTGGCACTCACGAATGAGCATTGGGGGACACTCATCTCGAAATTCCACGTTGTCATGGCAGGGATCATGTTTGTTCCTCTTTAAATTAGCCTCTACCCCTCAGTTCTGGTCATTCACCCTGGTTCTCTATATTTTCTACTTTTCACACATGGCGCATTGAGATCTACGGATGAAATGCGCGTTAGAAATGTAAATTAGTTGTATTATCATGATCAATCACCATTGTCATCGACGGCCGTGATCTATCAAACGGGATGATGTGCCATCGTATCTTTCATGGTGTCCGAAAGCAACAATCCATCTAGCTCTTGCACATGAGCCGATCTCATCTCTCCATATCGGCGGTGTAAAACCATTCCTCGGCGTGGTGCCTCTTACGGCTGTCACTCCATCGCGAGTGTTGAACACCGGCCAACATTTTTTCCAGCGAGGTGTACGGATATACGTTAGTTGAACTTCTTTTGCACCGTACGTAGCCAACCGTGACGATCGGAGGTACGATGCCCATGTTATGTGCTTAATATGGGCTTTTTTTAATGTATGTATGTAAGAACGGGATAGAATTCGCATAGAGTGAGGCAATTTCGCTGTCCTAGCCTACTTTCCTTAAAAGAAACATCATGTTGACTGGTCATCATTAATTAGATTAAAACTCAATAAAAGTCGATTATCCCTTGTCAGTAGTGAAAAAATGATGGTTACAGCATTATTCGTTATTACATATTTGTATTCCATGAGGAACGTTTTCAATTACATTCTATACTTTTACCCTAAAGCTATTGGCAATATAGGCACATTTAAATCCACACTTTTATTTGAAAGTCGTATGCTCGTCATACAACATTTAGATGTCACGGCATTACAGGCAGATTGTGTTGAACACATCTGGCGAACTGCTGAGGCCAGTTTCTTCAACGCGCAGAACACAATTGCCTCCTGCCCTGCTGCATCCACCTTTGTGGCTGTTGGCAGAGGTGATGGCATAAAAACCCTGAAAGCAGGGGCCTTGACAGCGCAATTATTCCCGTTCTTTTGTACATGCGGAGACCAGGATTGAGACCTGGACTCCCGGCTTCCTCGGCGTGCTAGCCTCTGGCACGTGAATTGCATGCACAGCTCTCTCTCTCTTTCTCTCCATTCTCGGGGTTGAGACCTTGTCAGTGAGACACAAAACATTGAGGCGGCCTCAGCACGTGGCAAAAATGGCACGAACGCAAAACCGAAACTTCTCACGGAATAGAGTGGCAAGTTGCATGGCACGTGCGTGTAGTGTAAGGCACACGGAATTAGGAGCGGGAGTGAGGCTATTTAGAGAAGACAGTATTTAAAAAAAAATATCATACCTAAACTAATGTCAGGGTGAAGATCCGTTATTGCGTACTAACCGATAAAACGCAGTCAGCGTGACCGCATTGATAAACGCGTGGCTGTAACAATCGGATGCGTGAAACAATATCTCACTGTCCAAAAGTTTTAATCACTCTTCACGTAGTATGGTCTGGTGCTTTTCGCAATTTGCGGAGGAGTGATGTGCGTTGCGAGCCTTGAATAGCTGCTCGTGTCGCTAAATTTAATCTTTCAATAAATACCCTGCACAAGCGCTCAGGCGTGCAGGGCAATATCAGGTGTGCAACTGGGTTCTACGTGGGTTTTTTTTGTTGCGTAATCTAAATTCAACACTCGATGAAACCTGTTGCCTGAGCCGACGTGCAGATTGAAGAATCTGGCCTCAGACAAGTGACTCATCCTCCTGTGTTATCTTCTGAGCCACACGTCCGAGCCGTCCTCGCGTGTTTGTGGATTTTCATTTGGCCCGAGCAGGAATTACTGGATGTTTTGCTTAAAGGACCTTCCGAAAACCCGACGTTGCATTTCATAAAGAATAAACCCCAGTGGCGAGAGGTCGCCGAGGTCACCGAGGTCAACATCATAACTGGGAGAGGTGCAGTACAGGCGGTCATTTCAACATTGCGATCAATGTAAACCAGCAGCGATCTGCGAAATTCCTGTAAGGGGAATTACATCATTGGGCAGACATGGCGATGATGTAGGAAAATAACAAAAATGCTTTTCAGCTAGCGGTGGTCCGTCACACGTAATGCTACCCATTGATGTAAAGATTACAGCGAGGCGAGACAAAAAAATCCTCTGCTGGGGGTTATTGAGGTGTCGTGCGTGGAAAGGGTGACGATATTGGAAAAATATCACGCGGGGGGACGGTGGGAGGGGGAGAGGTGGAAGGGGGGGGCGACTCCTCCAGTCTGCAGTGCAGCAGGAGGAAATAAAAATAATAAAGCGTGAACCCCAATGGTCCTGTCAGAAATGTACAACATTTGAAAAATGTGCCGACATGTGTCAAAACACAGCCGGCGGTAACACGGCGCAGAGCGGTAATGCTCGCAGCGCACCGCACATTTCTGTCTGTGACAGTGCCGGCCCTTTGTCCGATGCACTTCATAGTTCCTCGAGTGAATGATTCTAGCACTAGGATAAGTTATTAAATCAAGGCAAAGGTGCAGCCACGGCGGCATTTGCTTGCTCACGCAACTGCTCGCGCAAGAAAAGGAGCTCCAGGGAGCATTTTGACCCCACTCTTACCCGCTGGCCAAGCGACTTCGAAATAGGTGGGAGTACCCACACTTTACCCCACCACACACCACCTGGCAATCGACAAACTACGGTGTAGCCATTTATACCGCTCGGTGGGCAAGTGCTGATCTTGAAACCTCTCTGGGTTGTAAGTCCAGTGTAGTCTTACACCATGGCAGCTTCCCAGACGTCACAGAAACGACCTCTCTCTTTGTGCCGATATGTGTCCTCTCTCTGTGTGTCCTTGTGATGTCTGTCTGCTTGTATGTCTGTCTATAGTTTTCTAGTTAGATTTTTGTTGCTATTTCTTTTATGCCTGATGATGATTGCTTGTTTTGCAATCGAAACGTCGTAATATGTTATTATTTAATTTATTATTTTATCTTTAGACGTGACTTAACCGAAAGAACCAAAGAATAATTCCTGCAGTCACGAAAGCTCCAAAATTAAGACGTGATTTGTTGAAGTCTACCCGGGGGAGCATTAGCACGGTAATTTGGGCACTACGTTATGAACCTGGGCACGTGGGTTTGACTCCTGACCGTGGCTAACGTCAGTACCAGGTGATATCTACACCAGTCCTGGAGACTTCACCAAACTGCACTCAAGAGCACGTTTGAAGTGTGGTCAAACAACGCTCATGACTGACGTAGCATGAGGAGGCCTTCATTCAGCGGCAGATTGAGGCAAAGTTGTAAATACATGTTTTGATGATCACAATATGACATTATTTCTGTGTTTCAAGTACTATACAATGTTAAACATTTGATGAACCGTGCGTACTGTAATTGTGGATTTTTTGTGTGTGTTTTGATGATTGTTTGTTTGTTGTTTTTTTTCCAGGACAAAAAAACATTTTCGAGTAAGAAAATGGAATGAAGAAAGGAGTACAGTCTTTACTTTCTTAAAACTATTTTCAAAGATCTCTTTGCAACAAAATGTGTACATACATCATACTTTTTTCCTGGGAAACTACGCAATTCATTTTAGGATCTGATTGATTTTTTATCGATTAATACTCTTCATTCATAATAACGGTGTTTGGGTTAGATCACGTAAGCATAAATGTGTCGTATCCCTCCACCATCCGACATAGCCAGTAAGGTTTGTCACATAAACAACGCGCCAATTATTACTACTTTAGCCCACCGGTGTGTTGGTGAGTAAATTCACAACATTTACAATTTGAGTATTTACGCGATCTAACTCAAAAACCTTTATTATGAATATTATTGGTCGTGAAAGCCTACGTGTTAATACTCTTCATACACGTACTTCCACCAGAGGGTTTTTTTTAATTGAAGGTTCTTTGAAAATGTTCATAGAGATGTACACACACAAACAAATACTTAAATTATAATCTCATATAGTCTCCAATATGCCATTTTATATAGTTGGTGTCAATTTCTCTTTTATATGCTTTAGTCGCGTCAGTGATCTGCTACTAAATGAATCAGTGTGCAAACGATGAATGCATCAATTAATCTCCGTGAGCGAGGGAATATATATTGTCCAATGAGTTTATTGAAACTTCATATGAGTTTTCAAAAACTCAGACCAGGTGGCTTATGGGTAGAGCGAGTGGCTTGCAAGCGAGTTCAAATCCTGGTTTTGGGGAGCTGATTCGGCCCATCATAAAGCCGGTGCCATGTTGTGGGGAAATCGTCAGTGGTCGTCCTATGAATGGACTCGGCCCCTGCCATGGGAATGCAGAGTTTCCACTGCTGGCTCAGAGCTCTAAGACAGGACATGAGAACTCATTAAATAAAGAAATGACTTTGACTTCGTTGTTATTGATAATAGTTGTGTTCCTTAAACAGACAATGTTTGGTCATTGACAGCAGCCAGTGTTTGTAGTTAACGTTTTAGTTCATGTTTTAAAGATGTTTCTTTCCCTTTATGCAACTTTGTCGTGAATATTAAACATCCCAAAAAAGCAAATTTGGAGACTGGTGCATTTTATCATTTAACTGCCTAACGTTGGCAACTGAAAGCAGAATCAGAATGTGTATTTATACTGCAGGAACGCGATGAACTATGACGCTCTTTTTCACAGATGCCCAGTAGTCATCCGTGAAAAAAGCAATCGAGGTTTCCATGAAAATGTTTATCGCAGCGAAATTTTTCACTGTGACATTCACGTGTGTGCTCTTTGCAATTATTATGAATTCCACGGTCGTACTTTGGCTAACTTGTTTATAATACAATGTCTGCATGAAATAAAGCATTTGAAAAACTTTGGTTATTTTTGGTTTGATGTGAATGCGATTCTCTTCTGACAACTTAATATATTTTTTATAATGTATAATAGCAATAATAATAATAAAAATACATAAACTTCCATACGATGCAATAAGGCAGGTTCTAACACTGTGTAGGTTTTCGCGGTTGTGCTGTATTTGCTTTCCAATGTTCATGATGGAACTAAAGAAGCACCCGCAACGTGGAGTGAAACGTTGGACATCGTTTCGATTTAAAGCTTTCGTGACTGCAGGGAATCATTTTATAATGTTTTATTTTTATTATTTTATTATTTCCCTTCTACGTGACTTTACCGAAAGAACCACGAAGTTGGACATCGTACCAAACAAGCAAGACGTGCACATCCCCACAACACACTGGACGGCGAGAAGGCAGCAGCTAACACAACATCTTGCCTCTTCGCTAAAATTATAACTTTAATTTTTTTTACATAAAATTCCCATATGCGAGATTTAGCAACAGCAATCACTCTGATGACTTCGGGAGTCTCTGAGCCTTATGACCTCTGCGTTGATTCCAAGGAATTCCACGCTTAAATTACGCAAACTGAGTGTCAACGTCAGAGCGCAGAGTTCTGAGTAGATTCCTCAGTGCCAGTGTCTACCTAAAAACCGACATGCGTGATAGAGTGCCAGCCAAGGAATTTAACACATCCGATTGCCTGCCCACTGAGGAGATGGAGCAGTGAAATGTAACTAGGGTGCACGTGCTGGGTGGATTGTAACAACACCGGAGCACGGAAGGTGGTGGCGGCGACTTGTGGATATCTTCACCCCGCAGTGGATTGACCATGGCGATAAGAAAACTTGCTCTGATGAATACATGGCGGATATGATGGCGGATAGCTTTCATAGCTTTTCGGCATTGGGCACTGATAACAATGTTAACGGTTGTAGTTCAGATTAAGAATGTATAAGGTGTAGTTCAAGAACAAATGAGACATAGAGCGTAGTGAATAATATTATTGCGATGAAACACACACAATGTCTTTCATACGGTGTATTGGGATGAAGATATTTTGTGCATTCATATATTTGAAAAAAAAACATTTTTTGTAGGTGGTTGTAAGTATGTGAAGTGCACATAACTGAACAAATGTACAGTAATTCCTCGTTTAACGTGGTAGATGCATTCCTGAAAAGTGCAACATCGAGCGAAAAATGCTTTCAGCGAAAAAATTTCCCCATAAAGAACGTCACGATAAAGTTTGGCGAGCTAAGATGTACTACTACGCACACACGGTGAGATAGCGAAACAAACAACTCAGGGTATGCGACCGCATTACTTATATCATTCCATGAACTGTATCGTACCTCTCGTCCACGCAGCTCAAGAAAGTAATTCGCCGTTGACCACTACAGAAACTGAGTTATATCAGCGCGTGTTCCGCGTTATAACGGGCGAGTTTAGCATTATAACGGAGGGGGCAGGGGGCGTTCCGCGTTATAACGGGCGCATTCTGCGTTGTACGAGGAGTGTTTCTCTAATGGAAAAAAACGCGTTATAGCGAAACGCATTGTGTGAACACCACACGTTAAGCGAGGACTTGCCATATATGGATACTTTACACAGCGCACCCATCAGCCGCTGGGTTTCTGCGACACAGCGGTGGTGCTGGGCAATTGGGGGCTCTAAGCAAGAAACTCCAAGTGATGTAACAGGAGAGATGGACGAGATTGAGAAATGAAAAGATGAGAGAAAAGAGGTATAGATAAGGCAGAGATGTAGTGAAATAAGAGATGTAGACAAGAGGTTAAATATGGAGTTGGTTGAGGGAAGAGATTATAGGGATGATAGAGATAAATTAGCTTTGTTGCGTCATTTATAACTTTATTATAATTTAAATTTGAGCTGATATATTGGTTCACCCTTATTATTTTCATGAATCCAGGGCCCCTTGAGCTGTTTGGGGCTCTAAGAATTTAGTTTTGATTGCTTATGCTTCGTGCCATCACTGCTCCCGCAAAATCCAAATCGCCCCGTGATGCTGAAAGTCCAGAAGGAAAAACTGGAGGACACTTCCACAAATCAGATTTTATCCGACTCCGCGTTGAGGCCCCCGCTTTCCCTGGATTCTGTCTGCCACAGCAGAGGATCTATTCGGCGTGTCACACAGCCGCACCCACGTGGCATTTTAATCCTTGATGAGGCCCACGATCAGGCTATTCCAGAAGCTGGAAGAACGACCAAAATTCCCAGGTGACTCGCGGTGGCATGCTGAACAAAAATTACACAACCACAGAGCCAAGTCCGATCCCAATTGGCTCTGCGGTTGTTTTGGTTAATATTGTTTTGTTTTAATTTAATTGCATGGAATCGCAGAAAAAAGCCCCCTGGAGGCAAAGTGAAGATCTATTTGAGTAAGGTGAACCGAAGAAAAATAATTTTAAAAAACCCAGCTACAGCCACGTTTGTCCAGCTGTATGATGGGGGTGTGGAATACTTGGATTAAGCTCTGCTTACATTGTTTTTGATGCGACAATCTCGTTCTGCCCCGCGCATTCCCGGGATGTTTGAGTGACAGTGTACACGGTGGAGTTTATGATCCCCCCCCCCACTGACAGCCCGCGCATCCCAAAATCTGACCCTCACTGTGCACAGACACGTGCCCTTCTTTCTTTCTTAATTGGTTTAAACAACAACAACAACTTTGCGCGCGTGTTGTTGTTGTTGTACGTGTGTACATCCGCGCAGCCCTTTTGTCAGCTTCTACCCCACGAGGGCCTGCCCACGCCGTGTGGGTCATGGGGGGTGGAGGGAGGGATTATTTGACCGCACTTCTCCAAGACCGGTTTGGTCAGCGCTTGTTGTTGGCGAAGGCATGGGGCCATAGACGTTGGAGCGGAGTGCAGTACAGCAGGGGATTGGGCTGCACTGCCAGTTCTGGTGACAGTGGAGATCCACAGCAGCCTGGATGCCTGTTGGACACCAAGGCCGTAGCCGTGGAGTCAACATTGGGGGGGACCAAATCTTCCAGGGGGTCTGGGGGTCCCCCCCCCCAGAAAAAAATAATCTAAATTTGAACAGAATTTCCTGCCATTTCCTGCCTAAAATATTTAAAAATTCACTAACACATAGGATGGACTTTTTTTTTTACAATAATGTCGAATAGTGTATTGTATTACATTGCTCTGTTTTTTCTTTTTTTACCTTTTCTTGTTTCATTGTATGTAATGGCAGAGATTAGGGATTAATAAAGTACAACCATAACCACAATCATATAAACAGAAATCTATTTTATAACAATATATTGGGGGGGGGGGGGGGGGACATTTTGAGCATATTTGAATATATATATTATAATTACGGCCTTGTTGGACACCCATCCTAGCACTCTCCTGGGCCCAACACTGTTCTGCTTCCCGTATTTGGCGAGATCTGGCGCCTTCTGGGTGAATTTGTCAGTGGTGGTTAAAGTGATATATTAATGTCTTAATCGAGCAGTTGATCCATTGTGTTGGGAATTTTACCAACTAATAAAGTAGGCGAGTGAGGTTTTGCTTCGTCGTATATATATACATCATGTTAAACGTGTCTATAAATGTTGTAAACATATAGACTCAAACACAACTTAGATAACGCGTGTGTTGTACGATGCTGAGCAGTTAGTAATGCGCTGCGCTCTGAACCCTAGCCACCTGAGTTTGATTCCCGGCCATGGCTAAAATCGGTGGTGAGTAATATCTTAACTTGTATGGGGCGCGTAACTACCTTGAACAATCTGTGTCCTGAATTTGATCAAACAAACCCCGTGATCAATACCTTATCCTTCATCCAGCTCATGGATACGAAACAATGGGCTACTCTAAGAACATAACCAAGACTAACATTGGATTGCCGTTTCTGGATACTGGAATTGATGTCGCCCTATGTCGAAAAAAGATTGGTATATATTACACAAGTTACCTGGCTAATTCGTTAGTGTTAATTCAATGTAAGGAAAAAAATACAATCAAGAATACGAACAATATTTGTTGTGACTTGGTGACAGACAGATTGAGAAGCTCGCGATCAGAAGGGTGTGAGTTAAAATCCTGGTTGGGTTGGCGGGGGTTGACTCAGACCATCCATCCCTCCGGGTTCCATAAAACAATAGACCACATGGTTACGAAGTCACCAGCGGTTGTTTTTCCTATGGAGAGACTCGCCCCTGCCATAGGGTTGTGGAATTTCCACCCGTTGGTTCAGGGCCGCAAACAGGAGCCGAGCAACCTCCCGAGCGCTCTGTCGTGCAGGAAAGAACCGTTTCGAAATCACGTGTATTCATATGTAAATCGATGCACTGACTCATTAGCAACAACAACATAACAGCTCCATACAAACACACCTGCTCTTAGAAGCTGTGAAAGTCAAGGTTAGTCGCCTATTCCAATTTTGCTTTTTTTATTTTCGAGCGTGTGCTTGCGGGTCTGCATCTCTCCATGTGGGTTCTCGTCAAAGTCAGTTCCCGCTGCTTTCGGGGGTCGAACTCTGCAGTCAGGCGAGTAGGGTTAATGGAAAAGCGGACAGGACCACCTGACGTTACACTGCACGGACACCTGAATCATGAACCGCATTTCATTCTTCCGCGTCAGTGGAGAATGGAAGGATTGCGTGAGGTATCATAATTTAAATGTCCGTAGCGAGAGAAGATGAAAAAATTAAACAACGAATGCATCTGCTGTAAAGGCAATGTGGCTTACAATATTTTTGGGTCTTTTGGTAAAGTCATGTAGATAAGTAAAAAAAACTACTGTTTGTTCATTCTAGATTTGAAGCTTTCGTGACTGCAAGGATTCATATTCTTAGGTTTTTTTGGTAAAGTCACGTAGGTAAAAAATTAAAATTAAAATTTATAAAAGTAAAATAAAATAAAAATAAAAATCACGACGTTTAGGAGGCAACACAAGCTTCCGTCTTCAGGTGGAACCGTCACAGCACGCTTGCTGTATCAAGTAAATGAGAAATTCCAAGAGATACTACCCCGTATATATACTGGT